TGAGGTGTCGGATCAAGGGATGGACAAATGAGTGAAGCTGACCCATGGGTGAGGCTTCCTCCACGATGTCTTCCCTGATCGTCAGAGTAAAGGAGTCTACTTTTGACTTGCTGTGCCTGACGTGTTCCCAGCAGATGCCACCAAGCACAGCTGTTTGTGCATATGCTGGTCTCTCCTACAAGACAGGAAGCCCCTGTGGGACAGATGAATATCTTTTTAATCCCCACTATGCTCAACATGGACAGTAGGTGCCTTGTACATAGTAGGTGCTCCGTAAATGTGCATGGAATGAAGCGTGGAAACCATGAAGATGCACTTTATTTTCCATTGGGAAGATAAGTTTGGTCTAGATTTAACTAAAAAGAAAAACCAAAAAACTAACCACTCAAGTTCAGTTGAGCGGTGCATGAATTTCTGCTTGGCTTAAATCACTGCTTTGAATCCATCCATCCTTCTTAGTATAAAGTTCAAATCCATGTTTAAGGGCCAGCAGTTAGTCAAAGCATCGTATGTGTTGGTCTCTGTGTTAATTTGAAGTAGTTCTTCCTCTCCTCAACGCCCCCTCCCTCTCTCCCTCTTTTCTTTTCTCTCCCCGCCTCCCCTCCCTTTTCTTTCCTTTCCTTCCCTTCCTACTAAGGAATCTTCCAAGATTCTCCTCAAAGAAATCTTCCCTCGATGGGATGTCCAGCATCTAAAAGAGGTAAATGGTTAAAATACACAGTGGAGAATCATGTCCAGTTGGTCTTTTCTTCATCCTCACACCCTGGATGCCACCTGAGCTGCCCTCAGGAACCTAGGGTTGATGAATGTGGATGGAATAAAAACCCAGGACTCGTGTTCACATTTCTGCCGGGCGCTCCTCCTGGGACCTCGGGGTCCAGCTTCACAGGGTGAAATCTGTGCCATCGTGCGGGACCTCGTGCTAAGAAGCGCCCGGCTGGCTTTCCTGCTCTGTTCTCATCATCCTGAAATTCTTAATACATTTTGAAAAGGGGTCCTGCATTTTTGCTGGTCCTGCTTAGGGCATGATTTGGGACCCCCGGGCCACATGGGCAGCCGCTTTGAGTGATTCCATCACCCGACATGCTCCAATCCTGAGTGCAGCCCCACTGCCAGGCTTGTCCTGTTGCATCCTGAGAGGATGACGTCTGGTGGCTTTTCCTTAGAGACCATGTTTTCTACCCTAATTGACTCCAAGTGTTTCTCCTTTGGCAAGCAGACATTACTTGTTAGGCTTTTTAATCCAAGTTTCAGTGTAGCTGGCATAAATCCGTGAAATACTTAGTGCGTAGAAATGTTAGTTGCTTCATAGATGCCTTGAAAAGCCATTCAACCTGAAAAATGATTTTTATTGATGCTACGTAATTGGTGTTTCCTGATGCACGTGATATTTGTTATAAATGCATGTCTATGATGTCATTATTCTGCATAATTGCTTAGGCTCATGTCTTCCAAATGTTGGCTGTAGATTTGCTTGATTCCTTCTGCAGATGGGGTCTTTTTCGACAAGCAAGAACAAAGCTTTCCGGCTGCTCAGTCCCCTAGAGTTCTCTTAAGAAAAGGGATCCTGGAATCTGAAAAAGAATATATTTTATATACGTATATCAAACTGAATCACTTGGCTATTCACCTGAAACTAACGCAACATTGTGAATCAACTACACTTCAATAAAAAGAAATAGATACAAATTAAAAATTAAAAAGTGGGGCTTCTGAGCAGGTGCAACAGGCCTCAATCACTGGGAATTAATCAAGTGTCTAGAAGAAAACGAGGAGTATTCGCAGTAGAACCAGAAAACTGTGTGAATAGCCACACAAAAAACCCACCACCACCACAAACACAGGCACCTAGAAAGAAATAACATCACACATTGTCTTAAGAAAATCTGGTGCAAGTTTTCAAAACACCAGACGTAGATAAGGGTGTCCTTACTTGTACTGAAAAAATTATTTTATTTTATTAAATGCGTTTATTTTACTACCGGGTTTTTTTTTTTCTGGATTCATTTTTAAGTAATGAAATCTCTACTACAACTACAACATATGACGTATAAAAATGTTAAGTTTCCTGGTTTTGATCATCACCATTGCTATGTAAGATACTGCTTTGGGGGTAATCTGGGTGATGACCAGACAAAAACCTCTCTGTACTGTCTTAATTTTGCAACTTTTTGTGTCTATAATTATTTTCAAATAGAAAGTTAAAAATTATATATATATATATATATAAAATTATATGTATATATACACATGAATATGTACTATATAGTATATTATAATGTATTCAGGAACACATCTGTGAGGTCAAAGCAAACACGTCTTCATTGCATGCTCAACTGAGATGGTATCTGATCTCTCTTTGCCTCTCCCTGGCCATTTATTAATATAGTGTTGAATTTAGAGATTGCCTTAACCCCAGGGTAGCTGATAGCTTCAGTCAGTTAATCTTTCACCAAAGGGCATCAACAGCAGAAAATAAACTTCTTTTAAAAATAATTATTCCTTGTCTCATGACCTAGGAAAAGAGGACAGATTCCAAAAGCAAGGGGCAAAAAGGAAGAAGAAAGGAACAAAGATCTGTGATATCAGCCAGACCCCGGTGTGTCTATCTTTTCAATTTAGCACCTAAACTGGATAATGATGTCCTTCTAATTTTCGATCTAGAGTGAGTTGATTTTCCTGGTGCAAGTTGCTGAAATTGGAAAGGTAGATGTAGTGACAAAAGTTAAACGAAATGATTAGGGAACTGACAAGGTCAGATGAGATACTGAGCACAGGAAGGGGCCTTATTTATTCACTCACCCATTCAGGAAGGTTTCCTCAGCTCCCGACTCTGGGTCACGCGTTGTTTAGTGGCACAGAGATGAACAAACTCCGACCTCCAGGCAACAGCAGGACAGGAAACCCACAGCAAGTTGTAGTGCTCTGTGTCATGGGGTAGCAATGAACTCAGTGTGGAAAAACAAAGCAAGTAAAACTATAGAGGAGACGGGTGGGAATCAGAGAGAGCGATTTTTAATGCTTAGAATATTATTGCTCTTCTAACAGGAGGGAGATGGAGTTAGAGCCATCATCAATTTAATAGATTAACAAAAAAAGAATGTGAATGTGAATCCCAGGGTTGTCGGTGAAACTGAACTTGATTGCTATATCATTTTAATTGTAATTCTTGTCAGTTAATTTCCCCCATTTTCCCCATTGCTAGCAGCGTTTGATTTTCATACTTGCTTTGTGTAGCAGCAGCCACAAAAATGTTTACATCCTTTGACCCATATTACAGTGATCCTCAAACTCATTGGCCCTCTTTTTTCATAACCAATATTTTGTGACACCCTCTTTACTATCCTGAAATGAAATCTTGGGTAATGTAACCTATCCAGAGATATGATTTCAAGAATTCAACACAATACTTCAAAGAAACAAAAGGAAAATGTCGTGTAATAAATATGACAACATAGCAAGCCAGAACAATGCCTGCCTCTGTACGTGGAGTGCCCGTGGCATCTCCAGTGCAGACTGAAGCCCAGGCTGTGGACCAGTCACAACTGGGAGCATCACACCAGCTTACATGTCACCGGCCTAAAGCCAGTCCTCTGACCACCTCAAATTCAAGAGGGCATTTAACTTCCCACAGGCCCAGGTTGGGGAGAACCTGAGAGCTTTAGTGTCAGAATTGGGCTCTGAGCTATCACTTGGCTGCATGTGTTTGACCACGTGGCATTCGACAGGACCCTGGTTGTGACACGGTCCTCTACTGCTTGAGACTGTCCTATGTATTTTACTCCTGACTCTGCCCACCAATGCGGATAACATCACCCAGGCAAACGTGCCTGGACAGGTTCCCAGCATCCCTCTCGTAGTCAGAGTGGCCCTCTTTAAGAACCATTGCGTCAGTCAAACTCATGGGATTTATTCTCAGGTAACAATCAAAAAGGGGACAGTGCTTTTTGTCTGAACATTGATATCAAGGTTATTAATGACAGCGCAAAATTGGAAACAACCTAAATATATAATTGATTGGAAATGTTTAATTAGCTAGGATATTTCCCCCCCCAAAAATATTGTACAACCATTAAACAGTTAAATAGAATCCAAAACAGCAATGAGAACCAAAAAATATCGCTTATTGTATGCTACTGATTGAAAACATATGTAACATTTTATGTAATCTCTATAAAAACATGAGTGTATGTGAAACAAAGAAGGAATTATTCTAAGCCTGGTAGTCATTTGAGGATGAGTCAGCTATTTATTGCTGGGTAACAAACCACCCCCAAATTTAGTGCCTTCTAACAACACTCAGTTGGTTGGCAGTTTGGGCTGGGCTGGTGCGGTGTGATTCCTCTGCTGGCCTGGCCTGGGCTCACTCCTGCTGGAGTCAGCTGGAGGGAGGCTCTGCAGGGCAGGCTGGTCCAGGGGGGCCTCACTGACATGCGCGGCAGCTGCTGCTCGCTGTCAGCTGGGCTTCTCTCGAGCAGCCTGACCCTGGATGTCTTCTTTGAAAAACACCTGGACAAGGATGTAGTATTTTAGGCCCACATTATAACTTTCAGGCTGCTGAGGAAGGCGAGTGATGGAGATTGCTTTATGTGTACATTTCAACATGATTCCCCAAAGGCCTAATGACCACAAAACATCGGAGGCAAAAAAGAAACCAGCCACCTATCTGGTCCAGAGAAGGCAAGTCCATTTCAGCTGAAGTGTCAACTAGAATGGCTGGCCCTGGGACTGCAGTAGAGGCTGATGCCTCAAAGGAAAGAGAGAGCAGTAAGTAGTTAGCTAGTTAAGGTGCCACGAGGACGGAGGGAGAGTGGTCAGGTAAGGGCACACGCTTGCCATGGGGAAGTGGAGGCCCCTGGAAGGATGAGTCTTGTGTTTGATTCCTCCCCAAGAGTTGGCTAGAAGCAACTGGACCTGATCTTGCTGCAGCAGTTAAAGACACTCTGGCATTTTTTCCAGTTTTTGACAAACGGCTGACAAATGGTAAACTCTTTGCGCAGGTTGTGGTACGGGAGCTGCTGGCTCAGTACAGCAAACAGTGTGAAGAAAGACCGCTCTCGAGCCTGCTCCGAAACTGGGCCGACTCGGTGGGTGACAAGCTGAGAACCAGGTACGTAATCCCTCGGGCTGCCAGCATCCTTGGCCCTTGGGGTCTTATTATTGAGCTGAACATATAGAGCCTTGCCACGGCACAACTCACTCTTGTTTAAATTTTTAATATCACTGTGTGCAAAAAAGAAATGAATATGTAACTTCAATACTCACATATAAGCGGTCCAACTTAAGAACCAGAACATTGCTAATTCTGTTCTTCCTACATGCGTTCCTCCTTTTTGGCATGTTCACTGTTCCAAGGACTTTACAGCTTTTACTCCTAAAAACCCCATGAGGTAGGTTTTTATTTCCATCTCAAAGATGAGGAAGCAGGCCCAGAGGTTAAGTATTTTGCCCAGGGTTACTTATTAATGGGTGGTAGAGCTAGGATTCGAACCCAGATGATCTGGCTTCAGGATCCAAGCTTTTGGTTTTTTCATTGATTTTTGAGTATTGTCTTTAAGCTTGATAAATAAGGCGTACTCTGTGTGGTGTTCTGCAGTTTCCTGTTTTCACTCAATATTTTGTTTCTTAGATTCAGCCAAATTGTTATGTGTGGCTGAAGAGCTTCTATCTCTGATCATATTTTATCATGTGTCTCGGCCGCAAGTTACTTATCCAGTCTTATCTCCAATGTCAGTGGATATTTGGGTTGTGTTTTTGATATTTTGCACAATGCTCTTATGAAAAATCTTGTGCATGTCTTCTGGGGGAACATGCACAAGAATTTCTACAGGGCTTTCAAATTTAGTTGTCGTGACTCAGAGTGAGAAATACATTTAACATCACCATGGACACCCACACACCCATAGAATCCCCTGCTCTCCCCACCACAGACACAACTGAAGCAAACATTTCAGGAAACAATGCTCATCCTGTTACTCATAATGCTCTCTGGTATTTTTTAATTTAATTTTTTACTGATCTCAATCCCATGAGCCATTAGCAGTTTGCAATGTGTTGTTTGCGAAACATTCCTCAGTGGCATGTGTTACGTGGGAGTGAAATTGCTGTGTTTTGGGGTATGCCAGTGTTCAACTTGACTCTACAGTGCCCGGATTATTTTTCAAAGTGGTTGTGCAAACTTATATCCTCTCCAGCAACATGTGTCTTATGGAACCAGCACTTAGCATTAGCAGACTTTCATTTTTGACAATGTAAGAAAAAGGTCTCTCACTGTGACTTTAAATTGCATTTTTCTTATTACTGTCATAGTGGAGCTTACTTTTACACGTCTATTTACCATTTGTGTTTCTTCTTATATGAAATGCCTGTGGTGCCTTTTGCCAATTTCTCTGTTTTTTGGTCTTATTCTTACCGATTTTTGGATGTTACAACTATCTTCTCCAAGTCTATGGCTTGGCTTACATTTTGTTTATGGTATTTTTTTTGATTAACATAAATTCTTAAATTGCAATTGAATTTATCAGTCTTTGCCTTTATATTCCACACTTTCTGTATCTTGTCTACTTTAGGCTCATGATATGCATTTTTTAAAATTTTGAGAGTTTCACTGTTCACATTTAATTTTTGAATCCATCAGAAATTTTTGTCTATGGTGTGAGGAAGGGATCTAATTTTACTTTTTTCTCCCACAGGGATTCTCAGTTGTTTCAGCCCCATTTGCTGAATTGACTGTCTTTTCCCAGTAATCTGGAATGCTCCCTCTGGCATTTATTAAACTTTTGTTTATGTAGGAGTCCATTCTGGGGCTATTTTGTTCCTAGTCTATTTGCATGTTCTTAATCCAACAATACACTGTTTCAATTCCACTCAATTTATAATAGTATAAAAGTATTATGTAATACATATTATATATAACATTATTATATTATATTATTATATCTGAAATATAACTCAGTCCTGTCTGGGTCTTTTGCACATCCATATAAGTTTTAGAGTAAGTTTGTCAAGTTCTTCCAAAAAAAAAAAACAAACCAAAAAAAATCTCCCCAAAAAACTACATACACCAAAAGGGCAAAAACTGCTCAATATCACTAATTATCAGAGAAGTGCAAATCAAAACTACAATGAGGCATCACCTCACACCAGTCATTATTAAAAAGTCCACAAATGATAAATGCTAGAGAGGGTGTGGAGAAAAGGGAACCTTCCTATACTGTTGGTGGGAATGTAGTTTAGTGCAGCCATTGTGAAAAACAGAATGGAGACTCCTCAAAAAACTAAAAATAGACTTACCATATGATCCAGCAATCCCACTCCTGGGCATATATCCAGAGGGAACTTTAATTTGAAAAGATACATGCACCCCAATGTTCATAGCAGTGCTATTTACAATAGCCAAGACATAGAAACAACCTAAATGTCCATTGACAGATGACTGGATAAAGAAGTGGTGGTATATTTATACAATGGAATACTACTCAGCCATGAAAAAGCATAAAATAATGCCATTTGCAGCAGCACGGATGGACTTGGAGATAGTTGCCTAAGTGAAGTAAGCCAGAAAAAGAAAGAAAAATGCCATATGATATCATTTGTATGTGGAATATAAAAAAAGGCAAATGAACTTATTTACAAAGCAGAAACAGACTCACAGACATAGAAAACAAACTTATAGTTACTGGGGGGAAAAGGGGTGGGAAGGGCTAAATTGGGAATTCAAGATTTGAAGATACTAACTACTATGTATAAAATAGATAAATAAGTTTCTACTGTATATCATAGAGAACTATATTCAACATCTTGTAGTAACCTATACTGAAATATGAAAACAAATATCTGTATTTATATGTATGGCTGAACTATGATGCTGTACACCAGAAACTGACACAACTTTGTAAACTGACTAGACTCCAATTAAAAAAGAAAAGAAAGATTTTTGGGGTTTCTTCCCATAAACGTCATCTGCAGATAATGATGTTTTGTTTCTTCCTTTCCAGTTATTACTCTTTTTATTCTTTTTTTGGGAGAAGATATTTCATTCCTGGTTTTGAAAAGAATTAGTTTAATATTTCACTATTAAGAATGACACTTGCTGACGTTTCTGATAGACACTTGAATTCCTACAGAAGCTCGATTTATGGTTATTTTCAATGTACTTTTGTCATTATTGGATGATGACCTTTACCGATTTTACCACAAATGATTTTTTTTATCTGTTAAATTATCTTATGATATTTCTTCTTTAACCTATTAATTTGATAAATAACCCTTGTTATTTTGTTATGCTGTATTATCATTTTTATATTTTCCTGGGTTTGACTTGCTCGTGCTATTTTTACAGTTTTTATATACTCACTGGCTATTCTGTCTTCCTACTAATCTAATCTACTTCCCTGGTTTGGATTTATATCAAGTTTCACTGGTCACATCATTTTAGGAGTAGTTTCTTACTCTGTGGAAGAATCTGATGAGTTATTTGAAAACTGTCTGGGCCTGGGTAATATTTAAAATACTGATTGAATAAGTTTAAGGCCATTTAGGCTTTCTCTTCTTGTGTTAGTTTTGGGAAGTGGTATTTTTCTAGGCATGTATCCATTTTGTTTTGAATTTATTGGTGTGAGATGTTTTTCATGCTGTTCTCTAATTAACATTTGCACTTCTGCTAGATGTATAGTTATGTCCCATTTTTCATTCCTAAAAACGATTCCTTGTGCCTTCTCTCTCCTTTGTTGTTGTTGTTTAATCTTACCAGGTATCTGTCTTGTTTATTATTTTTTTCCGAACAACCATCTTTTTCCCCTTGGTTGGTCCTCTGTCATACCTCTGCTTTCTGCTCCTAAGTGTGCTGTCTCCTTTATTCTACTTGTCACGAGCTTATTGTGTTGTTTTTTTTTCTTTTGTGTATTTTTAAAGTTATTATTTTTATTTGGAGGGAGGTTTTGGTCTTCATAACCCAAACGCATTGAACCAATTTCCAAGGAAATGAATCATTAGAAAGTCTAAACTTACAATCCTGTTGAAAACTTGGGAAACACAGTGAATGATAGCGTGGGCTTTTTTTTATATCTGTTGGCATGAAGAGAAATTGAGAAATCTGTTATCTGTCCTTTTTTCCTTTAAAAAAAAAAAACCCTGCTGCTCAGGTTCCTGTTTATTCAGACTAGTCTATCTTAAAGCTTGAAACATCAGCTCCCACATCTGAGGACTGTTTCACTGAAGTCTCCCTTGGTTTTGTCTCAGTTTGTCCTTTTACGCTCTACAAAGTCAGTGCATCTTTTTAATATTTCCAGCCCTGAATGGGCATTTTATGGTACTGATAGCTTTCCCCACTATTTTTATGTTGGAAAATTTCCAGCGTAGAAGGAGTTGAAAGAACAGTACAATTCCCATCTGAATCAGTTCCATCCATTCAGGAAACGTGGTCCCCAGCTAACTACAAATCATCTGCCCCTCCATTTTTTCGCCAGATAACAGAGCAGGGCTTGTTTCCATCATTTCGAAAGCAAAACAGACGCTCACCCATATGCAAATCTATATTCCTAGCAAATCTTCCAAGATAGACTTGAGATGTGCCAAAGGCAGTATTCCAATTGTAAATATTTGGAAAGTTCCAGTCCATTTATTTCTTGTCTCGGTTATTAACCTCCAAAACAGTACACTTCTCTCTCCCACACATCCAGGTTTTACTGATTCAGTTTGGCTGTGTTTATCTCAAGTCCCAAAACCTCACTTACTCTAATTTTTATGTATATTAAGAAAAGCCTTTGTCCTTCAACACCTTTCCATACACAGTGTACGAGGCACTTAGCTCTAAGTGTTGATGATGCGGCAGTGACTGGGTTCTCAGCCTTCCCGGAGCGTACAGTCACATTTGACAACTCACAAGAGAAGTACCCAGGAGCAAGTGGGGACACGAGGAAAGATGGGGTGAGAACTCGCTGAACTCCTTCTAAGTAGGCAGCCATTTGTGTGGATGCTCAGAGGCTCCAGGAGACTTGAGGAGGAGGGCAGGGCTTGGCTCTGGGAGGGGCTGGACCTGAATCTGCAAACAGCTCTGTTGTGCCCTTTCTTGTCCTAGGGAGGGTCGCGTCTCTCCCTCCCAAAAGGGGCTGCCACCAGAGCCCTCACCCCCTCATCAGCCCGTGGATCCCTAGGGGGCTGTGGGGGCTGAGGAAAGTCATGATTCGGCATTGGACTTGAATGTTTTGCCTTATGTACTATGGCCATTCTCAAATACTCAGGAAAATTGAAATAATTTTAGGGAACATTCACATACCCACCACTGAGATTCAACTATGAACATGTTACTGTGCTTAGTACATATCACGTATATATCTCCCTTTCAACCCCTCAGCCCACCTTCCATTCATCTTTTCTTTTTTGATGCATTTTATTTTATTTTATTTTAAATTTTTAAAATATATATACATTTATTGAAGTACAGTCAGTTTGCAATGTTATGTCAGTTTCTGGTGTACAGCTCAATGCTTCAGTCATACACAAACATACATATATTCATTTTCATATTCTTTTTCATCATAAATTACTACAAGATATCGAATATAGTTCCCTGCACTAGACAGCATGAACTTGTTGTTTATCTATTCTATATATATCAGTATCTATAAATCTGTAACTCCCAATTTATCCCCTCTCACACCCCTGCCCCTGTGGTAACCATAAGTTTGTTCTCTGTGTCTGAAAGTCTATTTCTGTTTTGCAAATTCAGAATGGCCATCATTCAGAAGTCCACAAAAAACAAATGCTGGAGAGGGTGTGGAGAAAAGAAAACCCTTCTACACTGCTTGTAGGAATGTAGTTTGGTGCAGCCATTTTGGAAAACAGTATGGAGATGCCTCAAAAGACTAAAAGTAGACTTACCATATGATCCAGCAATCCCACTCCTGGGCATATATCCAGAGGGAACCTTAATTCAAAAAGATACATGTACCCCAGTATTCATAGCATCACTATTTACCAAGATATGAAAGCAACCTAAATGTCCATCAGCAGGTGACTGGATAAAGAAGTGGTGGTATATTTATACAATGGAATACTACTCAGCCATGAAAAAGAATAAAACAATGCCATTTGCAGCAACATAGATGGACTTGGAGATTGTCATTCTAAGTGAAATAAGCCAAAAAGAGAAAGAAAAATACCATATGATATCATTTATATGTGGAATCTTAAAAAAAAAGACAAATGAACTTATTTGGGTCTTTTAATGACTTACTTCTCAAGGATGTGGGGAAAAGAGAGGGCAGGGGGTAGCTGAGCTATGCAAAACCCCAAATGTGAACTAACTCCTTAACTGTCTATCTAAGTTCTAAAGACAGAAGCTTTTTGGGGGGTGGGGAGTACAAAATCGGCACAAAAGACAGAGTTGCATGGTGAAAAGCCCCTAGGATTTTGACGAAGACTTGGGTGTCTTGTGTCTGTGTCTAAGTCTCTTAACTCCTCTGTGCCTCAGTTTCCTCATTTGCTGATGGGAAGATGGAAATTACTACCTGCTGAAGAAAGTCACATCTCTGTGGCACACTCTGCCCTGGGCTTGCCCCCACCCCTCTCACAGCCCTCTGGGGCTCCTCTTCTTTTAAATACCAGTGTCCCTGAAGGTAAAACTGAGCTGGGACCTGTTCTGCCTGTGTGCCATCGAGCAAGTTACTGAATCTCGCTGAGCCTCAGATTCTCAAACTGTCCGTTGGATAATTATAGTGTCTGTATCATAGAATTATTGAGATTATTGAGTAAGTCACAGCAATTCATTATCCATTAATTTATAATATATTTGGGAAATATTATTCATTGCCAAATACTTTGTGACAAATATATTTAATTACTGATATTCATCTGTGATCATTATTATAACAAATGCCCAACAATGTTGAGTAAATTATTGTAAACCTACTTGATGCAAATTATGTGGCTACTAATGAAGAAAGACTGTAAAATACTGAACATTACTTATAATACAATAGTTAAGTGGTACAAACTATTATATATAAAATAAGATACAAGGATATATTGTACAACACAGGGAATCTAGCCAATATTTTATAATAACTATAAACGGAGTATAACCTTTAAAAACTGAATCACTATATTGTACACCTGTCACTTACATAAGATTATATATCAACTATCTTCAATAAAAAAATTTAAGGTAAATAAAATTGTTTTTTAAAGGTAAAAAATAATAAGTAGAAGAAGCAATAGTCAAATTATCTTTACATCATAAGGACAACCACACAGAGTAACTAGATCCAAGCATGCATCTGAAAAATCCTGAAAAAACACAAATGCAGCAAGTGGGAGGAGCAAGGGGATGATTATGCGTTCTTTCACTACTTATCTGTTGGGAGGAAATTCTTTTTGAAGAAACAATCCCTGTCTGTTTCTTTCAAATGAAATTCTTTGCTGAGGACACAATAATAATGATGATCACTGTGTTTTTCCTTCAGTTTCCTGGCATTTAACGTGGACACAGTCAGCAATCTCGCCTTCCTGTTGAAAGCAGTGAATTTTCGCGAAAGGGTTCTCCAGCGGGGTTTGGTGGCCAGAATTTATTACAAGGTAAGGATACAGTGTGTTGTATTTTCCCCTTTGACATGTGTTTAAGGCACATTCTTGCTGGTGAACTATCTGCGAAATGTAATAGAGGATGAGTCAACATGATTACGAGCTTCTGGAAATGGCTCGAATTCCTACGAGCCTTTTTGCATATGACAGCCTTGCTTGCTTTGCTGGCCCTCATGCTTGTGATTAACCCTTGTGCGCCATCTTTTAGAATGTCACCCGCAAGCATCATCTGGCTGCCATGGGAGTTGATGAGTGGGGTAATTTTTAGCCCTTATTTGAACTGAAGCATCATTGTCTATATAATGAATACAGTGTTTTCTTGAGTGGGGGTGGGAGGGGTGCATCAGGTATATGTAAAAATTAACCATTGGACTAGCCTGAGATGAACTCTGTTTCCTATTAAAATGCCCATGATGCCTCGGCAAAATCATAATACCCGGTGTCAGCACTGATAAAGGGAATTTCCACCAAGTACAGTGCTAAAACGGTTGACTTGAGGAAACACTCCCATCCCAGCAACATCTGTTTCATCTCCTAATCCCAATACGGAATAGACAACAAGACATCAAGAGACGGCTTTACTTCTCCCGCTTTCTGCCTAGATCAGGGGCTCAGGGCTACCATAACCTGAAACCAGACCTCTGTTCCCTGCCTGCAAAGGAATTAGGTTCCAAGAGGGCCCGAACTGGGCCCCATGAAACTCTCCTGCTTCAGTTCATCTCTTGTTATATTGATTTCAAGATCACATCTCCCAGTACAACACAGAACAGGAGGAGGATGAACGGCACGTGGAGATGGGTATTCTCTCCAGAAATACTCTGGGGCAGAGGAGCCCTGGGGGTAGGAATGGTCAGAGCCAGACTGATGAGGACCTGCTGGAAGCTGGGCCAGGTCTGTGCAAATCAGTCCACCCTCCAGGTGTAGCCCTGCCAGACGCCGAGGACATATGCTGGTGGGTTTAAGTCACTCCACATTCCCTGCCCTTACCAAACATGGAGCCAGCCAAAATAAGAGCAGGATGCAATCAAAGACAAAGATGTTCTAGTGCACTAGTGAGCAGAATTAACAATGGGCGAAATGGAATCTGAGAACTAGCTCCCCAAGACTATGGAAGTAAAGGGTAAGGATGAAGCGGCAAGAGATGTAACAGACAGAATGAAGATGGTAGAAATCCAGCCTATGGATAAGCAGTATTCCTGAAAATACTGAAACAAAAGGAGTGGAAATAATAATCACAATGTAAAAGTATTTTCCTTAATGTAAAAAAAACCAAAAAACAAAAAACCAAGGATTTAATGGGAAAAAAAAATCTATACTTGAAGATAAGCTTGCAAATCTAAAGCGGAGAGCATATATAAGCAACCAAACAGAAAATAATGGTTTACCAACAAATGGAAAAAAAAAATAAAAAAAAACCAAGGCTGACTTCGGTCTTAATTTGTCAGCTTCATGTGGAGCAAGATCTGGTCCTTTAAAGAGAAAACGTTGTGAGCTAAGCATACCATCCCAAACCAAATTGAGGTCGTGAGTACAGCAGTGGAAAGATGTTTTCAGATATCTAAAAAGCAGAAGCCATTTCCCTCCCATGGCCTCTCTCAAAAATCATTCAAAGACCAACTCTCTAGGACATTAAAAAGGATCAAAAGTAATAACTTGAAAATAAGAAAGTCAAGATATAAAAGGATTGGTGGTCCCTGCGAATCAGCCAACCAATAATTACGTGTTTTTAAAAATTAGTTATGAAGTTAAATACAGAAGCTAAAAATGTTTCAGGGAAAAAAACATGAATTATAAAAAAAAAAAACCCTTGAGTCATTGGTTCTATAATAGATTGGGTCAATAATATATTTTAATGTAAGATAAAAATCTAAAGTAAAGTAAACACATGCTCAGTTTCTTACTTTAATTGCAGGGTAGGCAAAAGGAATTGTTTTGTTTGACTTTGATCGTTAGAGAAACATAGATTAAAATGTATGTTTCCTTCAATTAAACGTCGCCATGAGCACTAAAACACAGGATGCTTGCTGTGCAAATCACTACACAAGACACAGCAAAGATAAGTAAGTGACCAGACGCTTGTGCAGAGACGGAGCAAAGGAGACGCATGAGAAGCCATGTTCTTAGAGGCCTCGAAGACCCTCCGGTGCTGTTCCTTCGGATGTGCCTACACCAAGGTTGGAGGGCTGTTTCAAGATTTCCCGCTGCCAGATGCTCCTTGCTTTGAGAATTTCTCCAGGGACTGCTTCTCAAGATCACTTCCTGTTCATTGTGATTTCTGCTTTGTACCTTGTCTAGTTTGTCTAAGTGTGCGTCCCCTCTCCCTGGTCCCCTGGCCTCTGAAGATCGATGATTTGACTTGAACTGCGTTGATCTGGTAATTCCTTGAAAACAATGTTACTGTTACAACATGCTCCCTAAATTCAACCCACGGTAAGCCACGGAGAGGCATCTTCTGATCCATTTCCACCCTCGGGGACCATAAACCCCTCCAACTTCCACCTCTCGGAGACGGAGGAGGGCTAGCTGTGAAATGGGTTATAATATGAAATGAAAGAGGTTTCAGTTCTCCTAATAAAAGCATAGGCTCTCATGTTAGGACCCTTCCTTTCCTCTTCCCAGCTTCTGGGAACTCCTGGTAACTTGATGTTCCTTGCCTGGTTGCTACGTCCCTCCAGCCTCTGCTTCTGTCGTCTCATGGCCTTCTCCAGTCTGTGTTCAGTCTGTGTGTCTCTTCCCTCTCCTTTTCTTATAAGGACACCAGTCTTTCTGGATTAAGGCCCACCTTGCTCCAGTATGGTCTCCTCTTGATGACATCTGCAAGGACCCTATTTCCAAACAAGGTCACATTCACAGGTACTGGGGGTTAGTGCTTCAGTACATCTTCTTGGAAGGTACAATTCAACCTATAAGAGTCATTTAAAAAAAATGGCTCCAGAGCTAAAACGTAATCCAGAAAACTGTCAGAAATGCATGGTCTAAAAAGAAAGCCCAAGATGTGAGTAAGAAGAAAGAAAGATCAAGGGTGAGTGTGCCGTCAGGGGAAGGCTCTCTGCAGGGGTGGAGGGTGTGCTTCACAGAGCCCCTCAGTCAGTGTAGGGCTTCTAGGATGCTTAAGGGCATTGCCCTCTAGCCTTCTCAACACCCCAGGGGCATCAAAGACATTTGTGGATGTGGCTTTTGTTGAATGGACTGAACCCCCAAAAGATTCTTAGGAGACATGTGAAGTTTTTAAAAGAATTATATCAGCCAAACATTTTTCAGCTTTTGCTGAAAGGCAAAGAGACAGGACAAAATGAATAGAGCCTTTGAGCCGCCAGCCTTCTTCAGGCCGGAAGCCGGCTGAGGAAACGACCCAATCACAAACACGTGCACATTTCAGGATAAGGGCAGGATTCCTCAGAGGGAAGGACCAAGAGCCCAGAGGTGGCGTGAAGAGCCATGGAGAATAAAAACTCCTGGGCATGGGGAGGACTGAATCTTATTCAGGGAACTTCTGATAATTTCTCAGCTGGGTTTCAGAATTTCCGTGGATCACTGACCCCTCTCTTCCAACCATGTTTTTCTTTTCTGATCAAGAGTTTAGCGGTTATCCATTCCTGTCCCAGTAATGTATGTTGGCCATGTGAGGGACGGATAACTCGTCTTTCTAGTTAAAAGCCTTCAAATCAGGAGAAATTGTACTTGAGGGATGGCATGTGAGGAAACTTATCTGCCATCTAGACTGGACTTAGAGGGTGAGCGTCTGGAATTTGGACCAATGCTGTCATGGGGTGGAAGAGAGTTTTGTGGGCCTTGGGAAAGGGTGAGGATGAGCTGTGATGGACAGGGTCCCAGGTGGCCTTCAAGAATCCTGGCGTCCTGAAAGTCACATCCATATACAGTCCCCACGCTGCACTCGGGTTGATCTGTATAACCAGTGGAAGTGGTGGCGTGTCTCTTCTTTTCATCCTAAAAGACGCTGCATTCTACCTTAGTTTCTACCTCTCTCTCTCTTGAATCCCTCACTCTGGGAGAAGCCATGTCATGAGCAGTCCATGTGACAAAGCACTGAAACTTCTTCCAAATCTATGTGAATGAACACGGAAGTGTTTCCTCTCACCCTACTCGAATCTCCAAAGACGCCAAGGCCCGGAGCAGTCAACAGAGTGACTGCAACCTCATGGCAGAGACTGAGTCAGAAGCACCCAATCAAGACACGTCCAGATTCCTATCCCTCAGAAACCATGTCAGATAATAATATTTTTTGTTTCAAGATGCTCAATTTGGAGATAATTTGTTGCATGGCAATGGATGAGTAATATAGTATTGAAAAGCAAAAACTGTTTGAGTTTTGGCATTGATACACACATTTTTTGAAACAAAATTATGAAGGGAGATTATAGTCTTTAAAAAAATTTTTTAAAACCACTGTTTCCATCTAATAATACAAGGTGACATTTTCTGTATGTCAACAAGAACATGATTCTTTCAATATTCTGATGCTTCTAGTGTTTTGGTTATTGTAGACAGTGCCATAATGAACATTCTTAACAGTGCAATTTTTTGACTTTACATCCGAAGTGTTCTTCACAAACTTTGAACAAATCATACTTCCCCAATGTCCATGTTTCTCCACACTCATTTCTCTAATACTTTCTCTCTCCAGCTTTCTCACTTTTTATCTGGGAGTATATAGTATGAAACTAGATTCTCTCTGGTGCTTATTAAGTATTCAGAACTATTTTCTACTTAAAATTGTTCTCTTCCAGAGAACAAATTGTCCACAAGTGCTGATGTACTTATTTCGAGAAAAGAAAACTTTTACACCCATAAAAATGTGTTTTCTGGTCATAAAAACAAACACACACACATTAGGCACATGGTATGGCAAAGAAATACAAGAGTTTTAGAATCCTACAATTACATTTTACCACTTCTAAGCCTCTGATTCTACTTCTATAAATTTGGGGTGATAAGACTTGGTACGGTACAGATTTGTTGCAAGGGTCAAATAA